CGGAGGGAGGGGCGACTGACGACACGTACCCAAAACCACCCGCGACCATGTGTTTGCCCCGTCAGGCATTGGGAACTCAACCCAGAATTCCAGTGCGCGGCGGAGACTGCGGGACCTGTGGGATAGCTACCCACAGTGCACCGCTCTGTAAGTTGACGCTAGCCTCGGTACTGTGGATGCACTCCGCTGACTTAATGTGCTTAGTGGGGACACACACAATCGACTGTATCAAATCAATTTCCTAAAAATCGACTTCTATTAAATTGACCTAATTTCCTACTGTAAACATACCCTAAGGGTGAGAGCTTGGGGGGCGGGTGGGGGCTGGGAGCCAGGACTCCTGGGTTCTCTCCCTGGCACTGGGAGGGGAGTGGGGGCTAGTGGTTAGAGCAGGGGGGCTGGGAGTCAGGACCCCTGGGTTCTTTCCCAGCTCTGAGAGGGGAGTGGGGTCTGGTGGTTAGAGTGCAAACGGGGATGGGGAGGAGCTGAGAGCTGGTTCTTTTCCTGGCTCTGGGCCAACCATGGTTTGGGGTTCAGGCTGTGGGGGTGATGGGGGGCCATTTGCTGCCCCAGGTAGAACAGCCCCACCCCCGGGGGTCTCTGCCGTAGTCCCTGACAGGCCACCTCCATCTGTGCGTCTTTGTGTCCGTCCACCGAGGTACGCCATCACCCTCTGGTATTTCGACGCCAAGGAGCGTGCGGAAGCCAAAGGCAAATACCATCTGGGTAAGTGGGTTACAGCGCAGCTAGACCATGTCCCCCATCCCTGACCCCCTCAAGCCAGCCCCCTGCCCTGGGGCAGATCAGGTCTGGTGCCCCCTAGAGGGGACAGCTCCCCCCATACCTGAGCCCCTGAGCCAACCAGTCCCTGCCCTGGGGCCAGGTGGGAGCCGGTGCCTCCTAGAGGGGACCGGCCCCGTGCCCCATTCCCTGTCCCCTGAGCTGGGGACTGGCCGGTGCCCATTCCCTGAGCCTGTCTCTCTCTTTCAGCCTCAGGGGAGAAGGGGATGCAGGTGCCCATATCCCAAGTGAGTGGCACCAGCTGACGGCTTGCCGGACGCCGGAGTCCACACGGATGCGGAGACAGCCGGGGGGCCTGGCCCTGAGGTACTTTGTGCTGCAAGTCGTCTGTGTTTGGTTTGCCCATTTCATGCCCACTGCTGCTGCCCCCCGTGATGGCTCCCGACGCTGCCAGCAGTCTGGGGAGCTACCCGGGGAGCCCCCAACACGCTGCCCCCCAGGCTGAGCATCGGAGGGGGGACATTGCACTAGGGGGGACGCCGGGGCCCCTGGGCAGGGCTGGGGGGGTGTCGGGACGGCCGGCAGATCGGGGACACTGGGGCTGTCTGGGGTTCTAGGTGTGTGTGTGGAGGTGGTGGCTGGCAGAGGGGACCCCATGTTTTGGGGGGGGGGCTGACCCCTGCCTTATGCTGGGAGGGGCTTGGTGAGGGGCCAGCATGGGCAAGGGGGGACCTCATCTTAGCCCTCCAGCCCCCCGCCTGTGCGCTGCCTGGGGGCAGCCAGGGAACCTCCCTGGTTGTGGATGGGTGCAGGGGGCTCGGACTCTGCCAAGGACGGGGGGGAGGGACTGGCCCCTCAGGGTGGATTGTGGGGGGCAGACCCACAGCTTCCTGCTCATTTCACCCCATGAGAGAGACAGACACTGTGGGGGGCGGAGAGCGACTCCCCCGAACTGAAATAAACATTACCTCATGGCAGCTGCCCCCCGCCTCCTCCATTCCCCCCCTTCCTCCGGCACTTGGGGGGTGGAGCCCGGGCACTGCTCAGCTGGCGAGCCCCTGTCAGGTGCTGCATTCAGGGCAGGGGGATGTGATGCCAGGATACAGCCTCTAGCAGTAACGTGGTGGGGTCTAGTGGCTAGAGCGGGGCAGGGGGAGGGTTGGGAGCCAGGACTCCCCCCAGACTGCCTCTGGGAGGGAGTGTGGCCAAG